TGAAGTTACCAGGGAAAGAGGGGCAGGGCTGGGGTGAAGAGTGAGGGGGCTGAATTGCCTAACATACATGCCCTGATTTCTGCACTGATGTCCTACATGAGCAACGTGAGTGTAATTTGTAATGGAATCAAGAAAGGATTTAACATGTGTTAATGTGTGTCAGGGAGTTGGGTGGGCTCTGCTGTGGTTTGGTAGCACGGTGTGCAGCAGGTTTGGAAAGCAGGGTGGGGGGACACAGGCCCATTGTACACACATATAGAGTTAAATCCCTATGAGTTAACAATAAAGCCTTGGTCTAGTGTTTCAGGGAGCTGGAAAGTAGAAGTAGGGAACCCTGCTTGCTCAGATCCATTTCAGATGGTGTCACTCAGCACTAGGAGGGGAATGGGAACCAGAGAGCTGCAGGTGTCATCGTGTGCTAATGAGAATGTATTTATGAATATGCAGCACGCCTGCTGTTGTCAGCTGTGCTCTTGGCAGGACATGGGCACTCAGGGGAAGGAGTCTGGCTTTTCCTGGAATTAAAGGTAGGTATGAGTGACCAGATCACTGCATTTGTGTAAGGCTTTGTGAAGTGGAGGACTCCTAATAGGCATTACATGTCTAGGTAGCTGGTGTAGGCTTTCTGCTTTGGGTCAAGCTCTCACTTTGCTCATTGATTGGGCACTCAGGGCTGGCTTTTCCTGGAGTCTGGCTTTTCCTAGAATTAAAGGTAGGTATGAGTGACCAGATCACTGCATTTGTGTAAGGCCTTGTGAAGTGGAGGACTCCTAATAGGCATTACATGTCTAGGTAGCTGGTGTAGGCTTTCTGCTTTGGGTCAAGCTCTCACTTTGCTCATTGAGACTTCTGAGATGCTGCTTTATGCTTGGTCTCCTGCTCAAGCTCTCCCTGTCGGATCCCAGAGCATCTCTCTGGATGCCCTGGATGTCTCAAAGCCCTGGCAGGGGCTCGGAGACCCTGGCAGGAAGCCAAAGACACCTGAAAATTTGATCTTAATTCATGGAGCAAATTGCCAACCTTATATGAAGAACTACAGGTCACAAAAGTTTAAGTAGCGTAGTAGGAATCACAGGGTGAAGGAAAAAACTTTGGAGCACTGTACAGGGGGGTTTTGTATGTTGTACAGGGGGGTTTGAAATTCTGTACATGGGGGTCAGGGGTTCTAAGATGGAGGGAATTAGGTGTGCCCTGTCCTTCTTCTTTCTTCTCCTTGCCATCCATGTTCAGGATAATGTTGGCACGTGTGGATTGGTTCATAGAGAAAGTGCACTTGCCAACAAGGGCAGAAAGTATTGGAAATTGAAGGTAAATATCTAATACATAGTTTTCACTATAAAAAAGACAACCGCCCTGTGGGCGGGAGAGAGTGCCCTTGGCTGTCTTGCTGATCAGACCTCGGCTGGACAGACAGAAAAACTTTGTAGATAAGAAACAATAAACTCAACTGAAGACCAAAAAGCAAGAGTCCAGACTCCTTTGAGAGCGCGGCCTGCCCAGAACCACTTTTTCCCATGCTGGGGCAGAGACAAATAAGAGCCGACCCCAGCACTCCCAAGTGCTGTGTCCTCTTCATAAGTGCCTATCTCCTGAGAGCTGAAATAGTGTGTTACTCTGTGCAGTGTGGAACCATTTTTGTGGCCTTGCTGAGCTTTAAACCTTTTGCCACATACAACACCAAGTCTGTGCTGACTTCTGGTGTGAAAAATCTTGTCCAGTTCTTTAAAGTGTGGACAGGTGGCTGATATGTTGCCAGAAGTTCGATTTAATTTTTGAACTGATTTATAGACAATTTCCTATTTTCTTGTATGGTGTCCTGTTCTTGAGGTCATCAGGACCATTGCCTGCCATGATTTCTTAAATACGTTTCTGTCAGGTCATGACAATTTCCTGTGTTCTTTGTGAGGATGAAGAATCTCTGAACTCAGCAGATAAGAAAAATTAAATGAATAGCTAGATATGTTGTTAAGCTTAGACACCAAAATGTCTTCAAAACCAGAGAGTAACATCACCATCTGAGACAGAGTAGACACCCAGTGGCAGAACCATAAGATTCCTGTTCTCAGGCTTATGGAATGAAACACTTCAGTGTAATTCTGTGGGCTTCTGGAAAAGATTCTTTCATTGCCTTTGGATAAATACTTAAAAGCCCAAAGAAGAAAAGTAAAACTAAAGTGAAATTAGCTGGAATTTAGGAAGTAGACCTGTGGCTGTCCTGTAGCATAGTGCCTTGATCAAAGGCAAATCCAGTCATCAGACAATTGCATTAAGCTTGTAACTATCATACTATCTGATACGTGTGTGGTTTAGGTACATAGGCATATAAATAGCAAGGAGCATGATATATTACTGTTGAAGATCTTCCTAAGGATTGTTGACAGGCATGGGTTAAAATCAATTCCACCCAAGAAAGGATCTCAAACTGCCATAAGTCTGGCCTGATAAAAACCACACCTAACTTCCAGAGGCTAGGATATCAATTAGTGGCTTGATTGGGAATATGTAGGTACATGTCTCTTTAGGTACACCTGGAAGGCCTTTGTTCAGGGTAGGGATAATTGAGAAGGGTGAATACAGTAGAGGGAAAAGCAGCTCATGGAGAACTGCTAAACATTTTTTAATCTTTTAATCAAGTACTGTCACTGCACTACTTAAGTTCCACTAAAGTGGAAAGATCAGAGAGTTGTGGGGGCATTACAGAATTAAATCAGACAACTGGAATGGTATTATGTGGGCTCACTTAAAACAGTTCTGATAGGCATATCACATGTTACATGAGACTATAGACATTCAGATAGCGAAAAGTGATTGTTGTGTAATTTCTACACCAAACAATAGAAAAAGCCAACACAGATCTCGAGTAGCTGTGTACCATCATCTACTTTTTTAATATGATCTTATGTATAGGAATGCTAATAAAAAGCAGATTGCCCCAGCAGTGGGGAAGCAGCTCCTTTGCCCACTCAGTTATTTAGATGGAGATTGCAAGATCTGGGGCATCAGCCAATCCTTGTGACAAGCTGTTGTTTCCTGGACAGGATGGTGTGGTTGGCAGTCTTGCTTTCATACAGAGCAGCTGCTCCTGGCACCAGCTGGCTTTCAGCAAGTAGGGGGCCACAGTGGTGGTCTTGCTTGGGACAGACTGGCAGACTGTGAAGTATTGCCCATGTTGGGGGCAAGCTGCTGTTGATCAGATGTCATGGGGAGCATTCAACTTTGCTGTCCTTGCTGCTGTGTTGTGGCCTAGTAACAGATGTCTCATTGCTGATGTAGACCAAGTGGTTGCATTAAGAAAAGGCTGTTCTGAATTTGCACTTGCCCAGGAGCAAAACTCATCCTGCTCTACAAAGGTGAGTAATTTACTTAATGAAGCTCCTTGTCCCAAGCAGAGTTTGCAGAAAAGGGCATAGGATGGATGGCACTGGAGACAATCAGATGTCACTTTAGAAATGGAAGCATCCAGCTCTGGTTGTATTTTACACTTTTGCTTGAGCTGTCTTAAGAAGTTAGGCTGATAAGGAGCTGTGATGATTGAAAGGAATTGAAATGAATTCATTTGGTGTATGCACTCAAAATTCATGAATATATACAGACAGAGAAGAATAGCAGCTATCTCCTAGAAAATTAATTGTTTCATAGAAAAGACTATGTTGCAGTACTAGGAAAAAGATGTGGCTAGGAAGATGTCTCTGTGATATGATGAAATGCTAATGATAACATTACAACGATGCATAACTTCTCTACAAGCTGTGGAAATTCTTGGTAACATGGAAAGGGTGGAATAATTGGATTAGATCATACTTGGAATAATGAAAACTGGGGGTCTAGGACCTTATCCCCACTCTTCACAGGCTTTCTTGTAGATGCTATTACAAAAAGGTTATTTAAAGAAACTTGAGGCAGTGCAAACTTTTTGGGAAAAACCCAACAAGCAATAATTGAAGTAAAGCACTAATTATTCTGTTCTCAGCCTGAAAATCATTAATAGCACAGTGTCCCCTGAACAGTTGTTGAAAACGGAGACTTAGAATTGCTTGCTATGGCAACAGTGTGCAGTTTGATTATGATTCTAGAGAGGATTTTCAAGAGTAAGTAAAATGTTGGATGCAACTTAAAGCAGACAAATACAAGCAAATAGGCTTCGATAAAAAATTGGAAGTCCCCATGCTCTCAGTGACTGTTCCCTGTCTGAAGTGGTTTGTGGATTCCCTCTGCCATAAAACAGTGGATGGAAAGAGCAGTCTTGACAATCTTATGTGAAAAAGAACGGGCAGTTTGATTTTGTGGTGCAATGTCGAGTTCATTAGATGGAATCTTGAACAAATAAGTAAAGCTGAACTTCAAGGGGAGAACACTGCATGGAAAAAGTAAGAAAACTTTAAAATGAGAAAGTAAATATGTTTGATATCATCTGTAGATGATAAGTGGGAACAGAAAAGTTAAAGTGGGAGGCTGTGAAACAGCAACCTGCCTGGTTTTTATGGTTTTGATTTTAATTAAGTGTGGTTATTTCGGATACAAACACCACAGGCACGAGCACCCTCTGCAGGATGTTTAAAGGGGTTTCCCACGCGATCCCTTTTGGTTTTTAAAGGTTAGTTTTTTCATCCTTACGGTGGTGTTTTTCCCTCGCCATGGTGGCGAAGCTGGGAAGGGGGAAGCCCCGGCGCTGACCCGTCACTGCCGGCCCCGGTGCCCGCGGCGCTGTGTTCTCTGCCGTGGCGCTGGGGCGGGCACTGGATGGCACTGTGCGGGGTTTGTACGAGTGGGCACGGTCGTCCTGGGCGTAGATTTGTGTTCCGAGAGGCAGACTGCTTTTAATGAAAGCCACTTTCATCCGTGCCCTGTACACGGGGCAAAGGGCCGGTCCGGGACACAGCTCCGCCGCGTGCGGCAGCTCCGGGACGGCTCCCGGCTCCCCGGGAGGAGGAGGAGCCGGGGCGGGAAGGGGCGGCAGGTTTGGGATGAGGAGGAGGAGCTGGAGCGGCAGGAAGGGTGTTTCCCTGCGCAACTCCCGGCTGAAGTGACTCAGACAGGAAACTCCCTGCCAGGCGCGGCCCAGGAGCGGAGCCGCCGGGCCGACGCGACCCTCGGCGGCCGGGCCGAGCGGAGCCCGCGGGCGGCCGGACAGACAGACGGACAGTCGGGCTCCTCCCGCCGCCGGGCAGCGCGCTCCCGGGAGCCGGCGGAGAGCGGGTGAGCAGCGCTTCCCGGGCCCGCCCGGGCGCCTTCGCCCCCTCCCCCGAATTCGGGCGCTTCATCTGCGGGGCCGGGCGGCTCCGCGCCCCTCTGGCTGGTAACCGTGAGCGCGGTGCTCCTGCTTGGGGCTGGTTTAGCCCCCCTCGGTGTCTGGCGGTGCCGCGGGGGTCCCGCTGCTCGGGCGGTGCCCGGGGCGCGGCGGGCAGGGCCGAGCGGAGCCGCGGGCCTCAGGCGGGTTGGGTCCCGCAGCGGCGGGCACCTGAAAGCCCTTCTTGGGTTTTGTTTCTGGGGGTAAGCTTTGGCTTGTTCTCTCTCGTGCGTGGCCCCTGTGTCTGCAGCGCTCGAGTGGTCAGAGTTCTGCCTCCTAGGCTGTCTTAGAGTGGGCTAGATGGGGAAAAAATAAAAATGAAAAGCCCTATGCAGGTTCATCTCCCTCTTCAGAGGAAGGAGGTGATCTGTAGTGTCTGTCTAAGGACGTGGAATAACTTCCTCATGAGGAACTTGAGAATTATCCAGTAAAAATAACTATGCTGTAATGACAGCAGCACTATAGGCTTGAAAATCCCCAGATGGATGGTCTGCCACCCCATTCCTCCTCTGTCATGAGCAAAGGTGAAGGCACACATGCACTTCATCTTTCTGAGTATTCCTCTAGTTCAACATCTCTGCTAATTTTTTTTGCTTTTCACTAGGCTCTCATTGCCTTGATTTTTATTCCTGCGCTGTTTGATGGCAGGCTGAAGTAGCATTTAGACATGTAAATGGTTGTTTGTGCCAGGAAGGCTGTTGGGAGGAAGTTGTCTTTGTGGGATGCAGCCAGCCTGCCTGAAGTGCTGGCTGGAGAGCGTGTATTGGAGGAGGAGGAAAGCTAGCTGGAGGAATTTCTTCTTAATTAGAAGGTCATACCAGGCTTTTCTGTAAACTGTGGGAAATGGTAAGCTTAGGCTAATGAGGACTCCAATCCTTATTGCATTCCTTGTTACTTATTTGGCATAACTTTATTGTAATAAGCTTACTGAACATGCACATATGCAGTGTTGTGTGGTAGTGTTTTCTTCAAAATTGAATTTATAATAATACTGTAGTGCAATTTGGCAGTCTCTGAATTATGTTTCTATTAATTGTACTTAAACTGTTTTATGCTCAGAGAATGTCTGAGCTATGTGATAGAAAATGCATTGCTGCTCCTTGCTTAAGTTCTGATTCTTGACTTCATTTAAGTCCCACTTTTACCTCTAAAAAACTTTTTTTCCCAATCTTTTGTAAACACAAAGTATCTCCTGTTCTAGTGTAAAAGACTCTTCAAGCTTTCCCAGGCAACTGGTCTGTGAAGTCTGGCTGGTGTAGGCAGCCAGTTGTCTCTGTAGCTGCCAGGAGGGAGGAGGAGGAATTTGGAAGAAGTCTGTACAGCACTGGGAAGGCTTAACCCCAGTATCATCAAAGCTTGCTTGGCTTGCCCTCTAAAAAGTGTACATCAGTCTTTCTTTGTACTGTAGCAGCTTAATATTTATTTTTTTTTAATTGGGACTATGTACTTGATGGAATATCTCTAAGGTACTTTGGTTTTCAGGTTGTCAGCTTGGTTATGTATTCTGAGAATAAACCTCTCTGAGTCTTAGGAAAACACCCAAATACACCCAGCCCCCAACATCCCTGCTTGAAAGACTTTGTTTTGTTTACAGGTCTTGAGTTTGTCAGTTTCTTTTGAAGGTCCTGATGAGTGTGGAGTGGTGTTTGAATGGAGTGGTGTGCTCAGCTCTGCTGATTAAAAATAGATATCACAGCATTCAAACTTAAATGGAGCCAAATTGTCTAAGTTGTTTAATTTTTTTTGAAATGTATGTTATAAGAAATGGAATGTTTCACAGACAATTCAGACTTTTCAGTTTTTACCTTCTGAATGTGTGACTTATAAAAAAGCTTATAGAGTTTTAGTGATGTACCTGTAATACTCAAAGTATTCATTAACAAAATTCTTGTCTCTTCAGTTTGCCTTAGATGGAAACTGTCCCCTGGGCTTAAACCAAGAGATTCTCTTGGTCCATTGTGCTGACTTTGTAGCATAATTAAGTAATTACTAGAAATCTGTTCTAGCTATGTGTTCCATGTTAGATGTTTGTCTGATATACTCCTTAAGTTTAGGTTAGTGCTTTGTTTATTCATTCTGGGAGAGAGTTGCCTTGGAAGGTGGCTTGTTCCTGAGGGTAGGATTTAAAATCTTGCTGTAACACTCTTGTCAAAATAATCTGATTTTTATTTTAAAGTTTGTTTCTTGAAGGTTTCCAAGATATTGAGTTGAGGTGGAAAATTCAGAGTGGTTGGAATTCAGCTGCAAGGTTGGAATAAAAAGATGGGACAAAAAAATCCCCACAAAGCTTGTTTTTTTGTGGGAACAGTTGTATTCATCCTCTGGCCTGAAAGCTGCTTGCAATGCTATACAAGAGAAAAATTATTTTAATGTGACTTCCATGCCTGTATGTGCATATCAAGTGGGTTTCATTTTACAGTTTTTGCCCTATGTTCTTTGGGCAAGTTCTTCAAGTGGGGTTCCTTTGCTGTGCCAACAAGTGAAGTAAACTTGAATGCTGGGCAGTGAGTTTTACCCTGCTGAGCTGGAAGTCAGCTGTGCCATTGACTTTAGTGCTTCCACCAGTGGCTGTGTGCCCTTCTGAATTTCCACTGTTTATACATTTTAAAATAGCTGTAGCTACCATGGCAAGCCCCAACTTAATAAGCAATTATGCCTGAACCAGGGAAAGTGCTTGTTTACCCAGGGATGCTGCAGGAGCTTGGCACAGCCCAGGCGTGAGTGGCCAGTGAAGCAGTTCGAGGTGGATCCATCCGTGTCCGTGGGATTGTGATCCATTTGAACTGCCCCGAGCTTCACTGTGAGCGTGTTCTCAGGGATGGAGGCAAAGAGGGAGGAGTAAATGTAACAGATTTGTAAATTTTTGATCTGTAGAAAATATACCTTGTTTCAAGTGGCCTCTGGCACACTTTACTCTTGAAGGTCATTTTGCTACTTTTTGGCTACATTGTTATTTGTATAGAGAACAAATAACATCCACCTACCCTTGTCCTGGATTTTGTGCAGAATTGAAACAGTAAAATGAAAGAAGGACATTTCAACATTGTGAAATATGATTGTATACCTATAAAAGCTCACAGAGAGCTTGGTAATGGTGCTTTATATTTTAAGCTACATATGTCAGTTCAGGATTCTTCTTTACTGCACGTCTGCCCTTAGAAGCTGACATTAGTAGGGCTCGGGGGCACACTTTGCTGTGTAATACTGATAACAGAGTGTGTATTGATTTGCTTTGTTAAAACGTAATTCCATTAATCCACATCACTGCCTTTCTGGTGGTAAAAATAATGTATGATGCATTGATGAGGCTTGCTACAAGAAGACAGAGATTGCAAAACAGCAGTTAATCTTTCTATCTCTTGGCACCAAAAATGTTGTAAGATATTTTGGGTGGCTCCTTATCTCTTGTAAACACACTGGCAAAAATCCTGAAGTATGTTTTCTTCATAAGACTGGAAAGATTTTTCTCTGTGTTAGTGTGTACTGTTTACTGTATGCCTCTGTTATGTCTGTAAATATATGTCCACTCACAAATGTTTGTGAAGAAAATCCTGTATTGACACACTTCAATGTTTTGGGGGGGGGAAACTGGCTATCTTGGACTTAAAATGTAGAAAGTAGAGTTGTGTTAAAGGTTGGTATGGCACAAATAATCGTCAGGCATTTGCCATCTCAGAAGAAACCCCCTTTCCCTCAGGCTGAGCAGATATCAAGTAAATTTATAGCTGTGTAGCCTTTCTGCAGAAAGACCATTGTGGGAGAGGTGATTTAAGGTTGTGGGCAGCTGAGTTGAGCACAAATCTGGCTTGGGGTGTTGGAGAGGGAGCCCATCTCTCCAGCCCTTCCCAGATGGGAGATGGTGGTGGTCCCTGCTCCTGAGGAGCAGCACTTGTCCTGCTGCTCTATCCCATCCCCACATTTGCTGTAGCTGTTTCATTCTGCCAGACCTCTGCTCCTGCTGGAAGGGACCCCAGCAAGGCATCAGTGTGATGGTGAGCTCAGAGGACTCTCAGGGTGGAAATCCCTTCCTTGCTAAACCAGCTGCCTGCCAGGCACCCGCTGTGTGGCACTTAGCCAGCTGTGGTCTGCTGTAGATTTGCAGCCCTCGTAGACAAGCTCTGAGGTCCCTGCTGTGCTCTTCTCAATGACTGCAGAGAAGTAAAAGTGAACATGGCAGTTCTTAGACTGGGTGGTTGTTCTGTGGTTCTCTGTGTGCTGCCAGGACAGGTGCTCTGGCCTAGTGAGTGTCCTCCACAAGAGTTCTGCTTGTTAACTCTACTAAACCTTTACTTACTCAAGTAGTCGGGTAACACACATGGAATTGGCACTGCTGTTCTTGCTTTCATCAGAGGTAAATGCCAGGGCAGCAGGCTGTGGTGCCCTCCTTTTCCTGGTTTGTGAGTGCTCCCAGCTTACAAAGTGGTTATTTGTGGGGTGAACTTGTAGGATTTCTTTTTGCTCGAGCCATATACTGTGAGATTTTCTCAGTTGTCTGTCTTTCAGCAAGCCTTTCATGTGGCTGGTTTTTGCAGGTCTGCTTTCCGTACAGTTGGTCAGGAGGTAATAGAGTGACAAACAAACTTTTTAAAGCCAATAATTGCTCATTTGGTGGAAAAAAATGCCATCCCCCTTGCTCTCCATCCACTGAAAGGCATCTTAAGAATTCAGTCAGTGTGTAGACTTATGCTTACTAGATGACACTCTTTGCAAATTATTAGCAGGGTTGAGTCTGAGTTATGTTCTTCTGAATTACTTTATTCTAAAGTAAAGGAAAAAAATTAAATGGTGCTTTTGGTTTTAGAAACAGATTTTTAAATCAGTACTGTGGTTTTATGTTAGGACATGGGTCTCAAGAGTTGACGTGCTAAGTAGTAATTCCAGCTGTGCAAATGACACAAGGTGCTTTTGG